TTTTTTACAGAATTAGTTCACATTACTGTGTGTGTCAGTGTGAGTGTGCATTCCACACGTCGCAGATCACGCTCTCCCATTTCTCATGTAGTGGAAGCACAGCCCACAACTATGCCTTTTTACATGTAGGAGGAGCACAGCCCTTGCTTCTGCCTTTCCCACCTAGGCGGAGCACAACCTACGCTCCCTCCTTCTTTCTCACCTAGGGGGAGCACAGCCCACACTTCTGCCTTTCTCACCTAGGGGGAGCACAACCTACGCTTCCTCCTTTCTCACCTAGGGGAGCACAGCCCTTCCTTCTGCCTTTCCCACCTAGGGGGAGCACAACCTACGCTTCCTCCTTTCTCACCTAGAGGAAGCACAGCCCACACTTCTGCCTTTCTCACCTAGGGGAAGCACAGCCCACACTACCACCTTTCTCACCTAGGGGAAGCACAGCCCACACTACCACCTTTCTCACCTAGGGGGAGCACAGCCCACACTTCCGCCTTTCTCACCTAGGGGGAGCACAGCCCACACTTCCTCCTTTCTCACCTAGGGGAAGCACAGCCCACACTACCACCTTTCTCACCTAGGGGAAGCACAGCCCACTCTACCACCTTTCTCACCTAGGGGAAGCACAGCCCACACTACCACCTTTCTCACCTAGGGGGAGCACAGCCCACACTTCTGCATTTCTCACCTAGAGGAAGCACAGCCCACACTTCCGCCTTTCTCACCTAGGGGAAGCACAGCCCACACTACCACCTTTCTCACCTAGGGGAAGCACAGCCCACACTACCACCTTTCTCACCTAGGGGGAGCACAGCCCACACTTCCGCCTTTCTCACCTAGGGGGAGCACAGCCCACACTTCCTCCTTTCTCACCTAGGAGAAGCACAGCCCACACTACCACCTTTCTCACCTAGGGGAAGCACAGCCCACACTACCACCTTTCTCACCTAGGGGGAGCACAGCCCACACTTCTGCATTTCTCACCTAGGGGAAGCACAGCCCACACTTCCACCTTTCTCACCTAGGGGGAGCACAGCCCACACTTCCACCTTTCATACCTAGGGGGAGCACAGCTACTACTTTTCTCGTCTAGGGGAGCACAACCCATGCTTTCTCTTTTCACATGTAGGGAGAATGCAGCACACGCATTTGCCTTTTTTTTACCTAGTGGGAGTGCAGACCACGCCTTCCCCTTTCTCCTATAGGGGGAGCACAGCCTGCGTTTCCCGCCTTTCTGGCCTAGGGGGAGAGCAGACCATGCTTTTTCTTTTCTCACATACGGGGGGAGCCCACGCTTCCACCTTTCTCACTGTGGGGAGCACAGACCACACTTTCCATGTTCTCATGTAGCCTGCGCCTTTTTCTTGCCTAGGGGGAGCGCAGCCCATGCTTCAGCCTTTCTCTCCTAGGGGGAGCGCAGCCCATGTTTCCGCCTTTCTCTCACCTTGGTGGAGCACAGTTTCGGCCTTTCTTGCCTAGGGGGAGCCACCATGTTTCCGCGTTTCTCGCCTAGGGGGAGCGCAGCCCATGTTTCGGCCTTTCTGCTAGGGGGAGCGCAGCCCATGTTTCTGCCTTTCTCTCCTAGGGGGAGCGCAGCCCATGTTTCCGCCTTTCTCTCCTAGGGGGAGCGCAGCACATGCCGCCTTTCTTCTAGGGGGAGCGCAGCCTTTCTTTTGCCTAGGGGGAGCACAGCCCATGTTTCCGCCTTTCTCGCCTAGGGGGAGAGCAGCCCATGTTTCTGCCTTTCTCGGGGGGGAGAGCAGCCCATGCTTCCGCCTTTCCCTGCCCATGTTTCTGCCCCCTTTGTTTGCCTTTCTCACCTTAGCCCATGTTTCCACCTTTCTTTCCTAGGGGGAGTGCAGCCCGCCTTTCTCACCTTGGGGGAGCCCCTTTTCTTGCCTAGGGGAAGCACAACCCATGTTTCCGCCTTTCTCAGCCTAGGGGGAGCGCAGCCCAGATTCCCCTTTCACAAAGTGCAGCCCGCTTTCCCTTTCTCTTGTGGAGGAACTAGACCACTCACACTTCACCTCTTTTTCCTGCTCCCTTTTTTGCTCCCTGCTTCAGGACATGATGAAAGAGCAACAAAAAGCTTTCACCACCCACAGAGCAGTTGTGCCAATGCAGACGGCAGAGTTTTGAGCAGTGAGGGACATCAGAGCAGACCAGACTTCTTCCATCTTAAAGGGACCTCCAGGTTACTGAGAGTGTTATCCTTAAATGCACACACTGATTGTGCATCTGGTGAGTGCGCAGTCTTTAGGGTTTTGGCCACATCACCATCACACAGGATAAGACCACCAGTTACTGAGGATCGTCACAATCTCTTGTGCACTTTATTTTTAGACTATATGAGGATCATCAATTGATTTTTTGGCACCTTATACACCAATGGTCACTATACAGTGACATATTATATCACCAATAAGTCACTTTATTGCATTATTAGCAATTTATCATTGGTGCCATTTTTATATGCTTGTTTCATCATATGTGTTTATATATGCAGAATATTGTTTGAGAGTGACACTGTTTTATGGTAGCACTAAGTCACTTGATTATAGTCAGCACTATGTCACCTATTATCTTATAAGTTTAAATATTTTGCTTTATATATGATGATTATGATTGTCTAGCGCTACACCTTATTTATATCAGAATTTCTAGTTCTTCCATATTATTAATCAAACTTCTAGCATTTGTGTACATACTTTTTAATTTTACACCATAAATTATTTTATCTTTGCTCACTTTTGGATTAAAGTTAAATTTGGTAATGCAGGCCATAGATGGGTCGAAAATCGGCCAATTTTTCATAAAAAAATGAAAAAATCGGTCGTTCAAGCGCCCGAAGTTACCAGCAACGGTAAAAAAAAATCGGCCGATTTTCATCCCGTCTACAGCTGGCAAAAAGTGTCCCTGCAGAGAGCTCCACTATTTCTTTGACAGTTCCTTGACATTTATAGCGGTTGCAACAATGTATTTGTATCCATTTCGGATACAGATGTTTTTATTCGGAAACAAATAGATACATTGTTGCAACCGCTATAAATGTCAAGGAACTGTCAAAGAAATAGCGGAGCTCTCTGCAGGGACACTTTTTGCCGAACTGGAATTCCTCTTCTCCTTCATCCTCTTCTTCTTCCTCTTCTTCATCCTCTTCTTCTTCTTCATCCTCTTCTTCTTCCTCTTCTTCATCCTCTTCTTCTTCTTCATCCTCTTCTTCATCCTCTTCTTCTTCCTCTTCTTCATCCTCTTCTTCATCCTCTTCCTCTACTTCATCCTCTTCTTCATCCTCTTCTTCTTCTTCATCCTCTTCTTCTTCCTCTTCTTCTTCATCCTCTGCTGCTTCTTCTTCTTCTTCATCCTCTTCTTCTTCCTCTTTTTCATCCTCTTCTTCAACCTCTTCTTCTTCTTCTTCATCCTCTTCTTCTTCCTCTTCTTCTTCCTCTTCTTCATCCTCTTCTTCTTCCTATTCTTCTTCTTCTCCTCTTCTTCTTCCTCCTCTTCTTCTTCCTCTTCTTCTCCTCTTCTTCCTCTTCTCTTCTTCTTCCTCCTCTTCTCCTCTTCTTCTTCCTCTTCTTCTCCTCTTCTTCATCCTCTTCCTCTTCTTCGTCCTCTTCTTCATCCTCTTCTTCTTCTTCATCCTCTTCTTCTCGTCCTCTTCTTCTTCATCCTCTGCTTCTTCTTCTTCATCTCTCTTCTTCTTCTTCTTCTTCATCCTCTTCTTCTTCTTCTTCATCCTCTTCTTCTTTTTCTTCTTCTTTTGTCTTCCTCTTGCAGGTCACTGCTCATGTGCAGATTTTTTTATCGGTAAAAAGATCGGCCGATTTGCCCATCATTGGCCGAACGGCAAAATCGGCCGATTTTTTTTCCAACTTTACCGATAAAAAAAATCTGCCAAAATACCGAAAAACGGCCGAACAATTAGCCCACTAACGATCCGAAAATCGGCCGATTTTCGACCCATCTATGGCCTGCATAAGTCTACTAACATTAGGCTTGGATAATTTTGTTTACATGCCACCTGGTTTAAGGCCCCCTTTCTCCCCAGTTTTGTCAATCTCTACATTCAGTGCACACTTTGACTCCCGTTTACCACACAATATATCCCTCACTGATCCCTTGCAGCCCTTCCATTATAGTTTTAAAGTTCCCCAATTTTGACAACTTCTACATTCAGTGCCCTCTTTGACCCTTGTTCGCCATATGGTATACCCCTCACTGATCTGTCCCTCCATACCAGTTCAAAAGTTCCTGTGACCTTCTGACCATCTTCTCCATCAACCAAGTTGCCCCCTATTTAGGCGCATTCCATCCCTGCTTTAGAGCCAGTAGCAGACTGAAAATGTTGTCCCAGTTCTCCATGACCCCAAACTATCCTTCTTACATGATTTGATCTGACATTTAGCTCTTGAAGCACCCGCTGCCCCTCTGGTGTGGTTGGTGGTACAGAAAGTATCCTTCAAAACTTCCTTTCCTATAAGCTTCACGATTACTCAAGATGCGTATTCCGATCATATATAAATATATACTGCTGTGCAATATTTTGTGACAGGTAAAAAAAAATCATGAAAACATAATAATCAAAATAAACCATATGACAAAAAGATATGTGTAAAAAATATAAAAAATTTCAATTTTGTTCAAATTGTGAATAATATAGTAAAGAGATCCTTGCTTGTCTACAAACTTTCAACAGCAGAGTGTACCAGCGCCGTAGGCTTAACCACTTGCCGTCCACCTGCTGTTTATAAACGGCAGGACGGTGGCACTCCAGGGGCGGGTTGCCGTTCAAAAACGGCACCTGCTATTTTCTAGCTCCCTTGGAGCGCGCAGCACAGCAATCCGGTGCCCGCTGTGTCCTACAGACACAGTGAAACACCGATCGTCGGACGGGAGCTCTGTACAAGGTCCCGATCATGTGATCACTGATAGGCCAATCAGTGATCACATGCAAAGTAGTAAGCAAGATGTCACTTGTGACATCATTGCTTACTACATGTGAAATCTGTGAATGATCACAGAGGTCACATGGTACAAGGCTATTCACAACAGCCTTGTACCATGTAACAAGCTGTGACCAATCACAGCCACTCTGTATTTCTCAATGGCTGCAAGAATGCAGACAGAGAGAAAGAGAAATGATTGCTTTTACATCCTATATGGGTGTAAAAGCAATTACTGTAAAAAAAAAAAAAAAAATCTTCATCACCCCCCACAAAGTAGTACAGTGTCACCATGGTGCTAGGGTGACAGTATGTAAAAAAAAACAAAAAAACATAAATAATAATATAAAAAAATAAATAAAAATGTAAAAAAAATGTTTAAAATTATAATTTTTGGTTATAAACTAATTTGGCTTTTTTTTTTTTTTTTACTAAAAAGATAATGGAATACATTTCGGCCAAGATTTATGATGAAAGATTATTTATTTGCAAAATTTTATAAAAAAACAATTTTTTTTCAAACTTTTTGGACTTTTTCATTTACATAGCAAAAAAAATACAGAATCCCAGTGGTGAATAAATACCACCAAAATAAAGCTTTATCTGTCTCAAAAAATGGTAAAAAATTCATTTGGGTACAGTGTTGCATGACTGCGCAATTGTCATTCAAAGTGTGATAGCGCTGAAAGCTGAAAATTGCCCTGGACAGGACGGGGGTAAAAGCGTCCGGACTGGAAGTGGTTAAAGGACTCTTACTGGAACATATGGACTCACTGAGTAAAGAGTCATGAAAGCATATATATATTCATATGTTTGTACACAATTCATCTAATTGTTTCTGTCAGCTGCTACTTTAAGATCTACCAGCGCAACTTCTGTGTGTACAGAATTGTATGCTGAAAAATACACTCACCACTCTATTAAGTACTCCTGTTCAATTGCTTGGTAACACAAATTGCTAATCAGCCAATCACATGGCAACAACTCGTGGTGACATAGACGTGGTGAAGACTACTTGCTAAAGTTCAAACCGAGCATCAGAATGGGGAAGAAAGGGGACTTAAGTGACTTTGAACGTGGCATGGTTGTTGGCGCCAGACAGGCTGGTTTGAGTATTTCAAAAACTGCTGATCTACTGGATTTTCACGCACAACCATCTCTAGGGCTTACAGAGAATGATCCGAAAAAGAGAAAATATCTTGTGAGCGGCAGTTTGTGGTGGAGGAAAATGCTTGTTGAGGTCAGAGGTCAGAGGAGAATGTGCAGGCTGGTTGCTGCGACATTCAGATGGTAGGGTCAGAATTTGGCATAAACAACATGATAGCATGGATCTATCCTGCCTTGTATCAATGGTTCAGGCTGGTGGTGGTAGTGTCATGGTGTGGGGGATATTTTCTTGGCACTAGCAAGGTGTACCTAATAAAGTGGCCATGGAATGCATATCATGGTCTTCCCTATACATTCCACATCAAACTTTCTCAATTTTTGACACTTTATAAAACTGCCGCCACCATCATTAAATCATTAGACACGTTTAGAGAAATTACTGGAAGTCAATGACAGCATTTCATTTGGATCATTATAAATGATGGGAATACTCTGAGGATATTTCCAGACATGATTACGATGCAAACCGCAGAGCAAATGAATTCTCATGATGTCTCGATGTATCATTGTCAGTGTAAGGAACATATTTTAACCATATCGCTGCCTAGAATTTGTTACATGCATTGAGGCTATACCCACCCCTAGGTGGCCAATGGTGTATGTAATATGTCATGACCATAAAAAGGTTAAATTTAAAGCCTAAATTTAGCCAAAAAAAATCAGCACAAATTATTATTATTATTATACAGTATTTATAAAGTGCCAATAGTTCGCTCAGCGCTGTACATTACAAAGGGGACAGAACATGTGACAGAACAATACCAATACAATGCAAAACATGAGGGGATCGAGGGCCCTGCTCTTTTGAGCTTACAATCTAGGAGGGGGGTGGTGGCACAGGAGGAGATAGCTGTGGGGGATGGAGTGGTAGGAAGAGTGGAGGAGGTCGGCAAGTTAGCAGGGGGTGGGTAGGCTTCCCTGAAGAGATGGGTTTTCAGGGTGCGCCTAAAGGAGAGGAGAGTAGGTGATAATCTGATGGGTTGGGGCAGGGAGTTCCAGAGGATGGGTGACACCCTGGAGAAGTCCTGGAGGCGGGCATGGGAGGAGGAGACCAGGGAACTAGAGAGAAGGAGGTCTTGTGAGGAGCGGAGTGTGCGTGTTGGGCGGTACTTGGATATTAGGTCGGTGATGTAGTTCGGGGCAGTATGTGTGACAGCTTTGTACGTCAGTGTTAGGATTTTGAATTTGATCCGTTGCGCAATTGAAGCCAGTGGAGGGATTGGCAGAGGGGGGGGGGGGGGTGGTGGAAACGGAGCGGTTGGAAAGGTGAATGAGTCTGGCAGCCATATTCAGGATCGACTGAAGCGGGGATAGCCAGCGGCGAGGCAGGCCAGTGAGGAGATAACATTACTTACAGCCAATCCAAAGTGTCCCTTGTGCTGCTGGCTGTCGGATTACTTGAAATCTTCCTCCCATCCTCCCCAGCTACTTCCATACTATAGAGTCTCTCCTGTGATGTTTCCAGCCTTACCTGCTTTAGTGGTTGGTGAGGAGATGAGTGTCAAGAGATGCCCGTAGCGAAAAGAAGAAAAAAGATAATCGCGCAGGGCAGACATGACTGGGTTAAGAGGGGGGTAGGAAAGACAGGAAAGGGTTAAAGAAAAAAGGTGGGAGTTAGAATATGGGCAAGATACCTGATTGGTGAAGGGTGTGCAGGGTGGAGTCTTCAACGCCTTTGGGTGTGGATGCGGAGGGTCCTCTAGTTCAGTGCAAGAGGAGGCAGCGGTGATCGATCTTCTCTCCTTTGGGGTTTGTGTGGGTGTTTTGTCATTCATTTTGTTCTGGCTCCGGGGGGCAGTTGTTGGTCTTTGGAGGGGGCACTAACTTTGAAGCTAAAGCTAATGGTTGGGACCCATCGGTGGTATGGTGTGTCCGGGTGTATTCCGGTTAACCGAGGTTTAACTGGAAGGTGGAGGTTCCGCACTGCGGATGGTATGTTTTTGTCTCCAAGTCGGTGCTTTGCGGCTGGAGGCCTAGTTATATTATAGGTTCCGCAGGGGGATATCGGTTTTGGTTTGGTGCCTTCGAAGACCAACAACTTCTTCTGTATGTTTCTGTTTTAAGGAATGTGTTTGTGGAATGAAGTTTAAAGTGTTAATAAAAGGCAGTGTTGGCCATTTTATTCCAATCGGTGTTCTGTTTTTCCTTTATTGGAATGTTAAGGGGGTATGTGAGAGAGAGAGAGACAGTGGTGAAGGGGGGTCTTGACTAGCCTATCTTTTGTGCACTAGTCATGTTCACCGATTTCCGTGTAACTGTGAACAAGCAGAGTACGTAGTCCTTGGCGCTTCCAGTTTCATGCTCATTGCAGCATCAGAAGCCGAGGAAAAAAAACTTAAAATTGTGGCTCTTTTTATATCCTTTCCAGGAAGAAGGGTGAACTCACTTCCTTCCTGGCAGGAGCCCCTCATAATGATGGTGGGAGGAGTTTAGAGGAGGAGTAGGGGCTTGCTGGCCAAGAGTAGAGAAGCCTATGAGGGAAAACAGCGCCTTAAAGTGGAACTTCACTCTCTCAAATCAACATTTTGACTATTTTGAATCTTTATGCTGCTAGCATTAGTAAATAGATAGGAAAGCATATCAATTGTATTTGTTTTCGAACTTATTTTTTTATATTTTCCAGTCAGTTGTATTAGGAGAGGTATAGACTCCAGAGAGAGAGATATCATTTCCCCCGTTACCAATCATTATAAACCTCATCTGGAATATGCAGTTCAGTTTTGGGCACCAATTCACACAAAGAAATTGGGGAACTGGAGAAAGTACAGACAGAGAAGGGCATCCAAAAAACTGATAGGAGGAGCTTAGCTATGAGGAAAGATTACAGGAACTCAATCTGTTTTTAAGGGGGTATATTTTCTCCATGTAATACATAAGGGGGGATATGATCTCCACTGTATAATACATAAGGGGGATATGATCTCCATGTATAATACCATAAGGGGGGGGATATGATCTCCATGTATATACATAAGGGGGGATATGATACTCCATGTAAATAACATAAGGGGGGATATGATCTACAAGTATAAATTACATAAGGGGGGATATATGATCTCCATGTATAATACATAAGGGGGATATGATCTCTGTGTATAATACATATAAGGGGGGATTATGATCACCAATGTATAATACATATGGGGGGATATGATCTCCCATGGTATAATACATAAGCGGGGGGGATATGGATCTCCAATGTCATAATACATAAGGGGGGATATGATCTCCTTGTGTAATACATAGGGGGATATGATCACCATGTATAATCATAAGGGGGGGATATGATCTACCCATGTATATATACATAAGGGGGGATATGTGATCACCATGTATAATTAATACATAAGGGGAGTATGATCCTCCATGTATAATACATAAGGGGGGGGATATGATCTCACATGTATATAATACATAAGGGGGGATATGATCACCATGTATAATACATAAAGGGGGGGATAATGATCTCCATGTAAATAATACATAAGGGGGATATGATCTCCATGTATAAATACATCAGTGGTTCAATATAGTGAACTTGATGTAGAGCTATTCACCCTGAGGTCATCTCAGAGGACAAGGGGGCACTCTTTAACCGTCTGGGAGGAAAGAAATGAAATCTCCAAACACGGAAAGGCGTTATTCACAGTAAGAGCATGTGAGAATGTGGAATAGTGGCTGTGATTGGTGTGTTCCTTAGTCATGTGAGCTTTTTTCCCCAAAAATTTGAAGTAATGTGGAACCAATTTACGGCAAAATAGGATTCCGGGAGCTTAAATGAGATATGTTGATGATTTGAGTATCCATAATTGGCGATTCAAGAAAAAGATTTCTCGATTGGTGTAATCAAAAACAATCGTCAATGTTCTCAATCTCATTACGCTGTAGCATGGTCCGGAGTCGTTACATGCTGAGCTCTGCTAAAGCCCAGTTTCAGCTTCATATATTATTCCAGTAATGCAGGCAAACTGCAGAAACAGTAATATTTGTGAGCTCCACTAAAAAGTGTTACTAAACCCCCAACAGTACAATCAGTCTGTATATGCAGTAAAGCATGCTTGTTATATTCACTGTGGAACCTAAGGGGTTAATCCTCTGCATTGTGTAAAAAGACCATTTGATCCTGTCTTCTCTGCTCCTCCTCTTGTTCAAATGTCCACCTCTTATCTACTGATAAGACAGACTGAACCATAGCCCTTCTGCACATGCTCAATTTGGTGTGTATTGCTAGAGAGGGTTTTTTTTTCTTGGGAGAGCGCATGTGATCAGCACAGGGCCAATCAGCACTGTCCAGACAGAGGTCAGGGGTTCTGCATCCTCCTAGAGCAGAAAGAAAGCTCCCCCCTACAAGCTTTAAAGTGGAGTTCCAGCCGTTTTTGTGTTTATTAAAAGTCAGCATCTGCAAAAACTGTAACTGCTGACTTCTAATAAACATACACTTACCTGGGTCAAGCGATGTTCTCATCGCGCCATTTCTTCTCTCCTTCTGTCCTCCATGGCACCGGCATCTCTATTGTGGGCACCAGACTGTGACAGCTTGTGGTTTCACAGCCTGGTGCCCACTGCACATGCCTGAGTCGCGCCATGAATCCTGTCTTTTGGGAACTGTGAAAGTTTCCAGGAGACTGCGGGAGAGAATAGGGTCCGGGGAGACCAGATATAGTGAATGCGGGGTCCGGGGAGAGTGGATATAGTGAATGTAGGGTCCGGGGAGACCAGATATAGTGAATGCAGGGTCCGGGGAGACCAGATATAGTGAATGCAGGGTCTGGGGAGAGCGGATATAGTGAATGCAGGGTCCAGGAGAGCAGATATAGTGAATGCAGGGTCCGGGGAGACCGGATATAGTGAATGCAGGGTCCGGGGAGACCAGATATAGTGAATGCAGGGTCCGGGGAGAGCAGATATAGTGAATGCAGGGTCCGGGGAGAGCAGATATAGTGAATGCAGGGTCCGGGGAGAGCAGATATAGTGAATGCAGGGTGTCTAAATAGTGGAACACTTTAATAAAAATTGTCCACATATAAGTGGTACCCCATATGGAAAAAGGATGACACCAAGTCCCAAACTATCTTGCCACTCCTCCCCATGTAGTCTGGGCATTCGGGAGGCTCCACGTGACTATCCTTTTCCTTTGTAAATCCAAAACATATATATATAGCCTGTTGTTCTCTCACAGGTCTTCTACATCTTGACGCCATATCTGGCACGCTTGCTGGGGAGAAATTGTTTTAATGCAAGACGGCCAGAAAAATTAGTGAGGGATGTTTTGCTGGGGAGCAGGGGTGGACTGACCATTTGGAAACTCAGGCACTGCCCGAGGGCCCAGGGTCTGTAGGGGGCCCCATGAGATGCCCCTGGTACCTTTTTCATAGGCTTTTTTGAGATTGGGGCAAGGACACGGGCCCCATGATCCCCTATTGCTCGGGGGCCCCATGAGTTGTCAGTCCGCCCCTGCTGGGGAGTATAGACATCTGCAAATTTTTGGTTCAGGTGATTTACGAGAGGCCGGATTTTGTGGAGCCGGTCAAATTCAGGGTCACCCCGAGGATGACTGAGTGTGTTGTCGTTGAAGTGCATAAAACGCAATATCATCTCATATCTATGTCTGGCCATGGCATATGATGAATCGGGTCTGCGGACCAATACAACCACAATTCATTTTTTTTAGTAATGCCCATGTTGAGGGTTAGGCCCAATAAAACTTTAAATTCGTAAACCGTAATAAGTTTCCATGCGAATGGTCAGGCAAGGTTTGAATTTATGTTGACGGTGAAAAAAAAAAGATTTGGAGGAGGCTGAGAGCAATAGAAGGGACTTTTGATTTCAGAAACCATACATCAATAGATTTTTTTTAACCACTTCCCGACCGGCCGTTGCATATAAACGGCCTGACGGTGGCACTGCAGGGTCG